TGTCATCTTAGTTCTGAACCTGCAAAGAGCTATTATAATACAAAGACTCGCTTTTTTTTCTGTTGAACATAATGGCCCCAGTTAGTCAGCTTATGTATATTAGATATGGGAAAGCACTTAGCTGTGTGCCTTGTTATCTGTGCTCATCTATTTCTATTTGTTGTGTTACAGATGAATGTTCATTTTCATCTCTCTGGTAGAGTGACTTTGATACTTCTCTCAACTTCATGTGCTAAGGTGGATCAAAGCCTTTCCTGACAGACATGTTCATATGAAGTAGCAGAGGGTGACTGATTGACATAAAGCTTATATTGCCAAATTATAATGCTAGCAAAATATAGTACTCATATTGGCTATACATTTCTTTTTTCTTTTTTTTTTTTTTTTTTTTTTTTTTTCTGTGAACAAGCAAGCTCTCGGAATCTCAATCAATAGGTGATTGGAGAAAAATGTTTCTCTTGCTGTGAACAAAGGGCAAAACATCAGTTATGGTTTTTTTCCCCTCATGTTTTGATTTAAAGATAGGTATAGTGAGAGAAATCCTCTTTGCAAAATACAAGTAAATCTCTGTTTTTCTGAGGGAGGATGTTGAAGGGGGAATGAGATGATGAACTTGATCTTTTTCAGCATGGCAGTTCAGAAAATTTCTCTACTTAGATGAGTGCTTCTTCCAGTCTCTTCAGATTACTTAGAAAGAAGGATTCAAAAACCTGTAACATCCTCATTTGTGATAATTCAGCTGTGGTGGGTATGCTGGAAGAGCACTGTGGACAATTAGATGTTTTGAGTGACAATCACTTTACACCTATAGCTTTGTTTTCTCTCAAGGACGGTGAAAGCTATGTTACCATATTTTGTGTTTGGTTTAGTTTGGTTTTTTTTTTTTTTTTGGTTACATTTTATATTAGTTAATTCTGAAGATCCTGTTTGCCTGGATTCCTCACAAAGGATAACAGGAAGGCTTTACCCACCTTACTTCACTCTATCTCACAATTTTACAAGGCGATTGTTTGTATAGCACCAGGAACAAATAGAAAATAAGGGCCTATAGCCTTATGAAGTATACAGGAATCTGTCCACTGATTTCTGTGGAGTTTGGATAAAGGCCTAAAGGTACATAATATAAACAAGCAGACATTTCCTTTTTCTTTAGAACCCTTTGAAGGCTTGTCTTTTTATTTTTGTTTTTAAAGTCCTGCATACCAGGAGGATAATATCTGTCTAAGACTGAAAGACATATGAGCAGTAAGGAGATTCAAAACATAACCAGCCTTCCAGTGATACATCTATGATGCAGAGTATTCTCTGCACATGGTTTAAAGAGGAAATTAGTGCAGTGTAACACTGGGCTTCAGTGAGGTGAAGACTTAATCTTTCTCCCTAAATCAGTGAAATACAAATTCAATGCAAAGTCATTGAAGTTCTTGCACACTGTAGAAATGAATGCAGACAAAGTTCAGACTCTGAGGCACTGATTTTTGTGTTCTGCACCCAGATAGAAAAGATGGATGGCACTGTCAGTTGGGCAAGACTCAGGAAGGGCCTATGGGGGAATAACAGGATAAAAGTAACCATTCTTGTGTATATCCAGAACTGATTTCTGAGGTGAATGGAATTTTTTAAGTGAAGAATACTTTGAAATTAAATACCTACTTCATGTCTTTAGATGGAATGAAATAATTTTAAGAAGACTCTCTAATTTCTTTAGTCCAAATATCTTATAAAAGAGAAGAGCAATACAGTATGAATCTTCAAGACATAAAATAGTACCTTTTCTGAAACAGGAAATATTTTCCTCCTCAATAACCAGCTAGGTAATGTATTTTACACTATCTTCAGGAATATTATGTATTTTGTGGGATATCAGTTCACTGTGGATAATTCTATGTTTTGACAATACATAAACAGTTCCACATTGAAGTTTTGCAACTTCTAACACATTTTATCCATTCTTTTGCTAGTGTATCTAAGTATTATTATAAGTAGACAATTTATAGTATCGATGAGGTTCTCCAAGTCTTCACTCTTTTTGCTGTTTTTTATTCCAGGTATGGAATCTGTCTCCTAAATCACAGATACAATTTCTAGTTTCTGCTGTGTTATTCCTGTTATTATTTTTTTCTTCAGTGTTTGGAGACTACGTCACTATGACCCTCGTCACTTCATGAAAGATTTCAGGGTAGGTTACATAATTAAAAGGATAATCACACTATTTACAAGTTTATAACTTATCTTTTTACTTCTTTTTGAATTTGTGCTGACTTCTTTTCACATTTGTGTTTAACAGTGTGTTGTCTGTCATTGTGAACACTGTTATGTATGATTAATCACTATGATTTACAGTTAAGGTTTCATCAGAATGCTTGTCTGATCCAAATAAGTATTTATCCTATTTGTTCTATTTTTTTATGGAGTTTAGTCTGGCTCCTCCAGACACGATTTAATTTTCTTGTTTATCAGATCAATTTGTCACGAAGAACAGAAACAGGTGAAAGAGCAGATCATCAATTTGTATTGTGTATGGGGCTGGATAACACTGAAATTGTTTTGAATTAGATCTCAGTGTTTACTGGTAGGGAAGAGATAGAGCTATTACATACAGCAATTTTCAGTCACTGAATTATAGTTGGAGCACATAGAAATACTAGCTTGACTATACTTAGTTATTGATAGACAGTAGAGACTAAAGCTGGAATAAACCAATGATAACCTGAGGCTTCCCTCTACCTTTACCCTTTATTTTAGACCACAATCAACCATGAATCATCAGTGCTTCCTTTTCTTCCCTAAAGCCCTTTTTTTTTTTTTTTTTTTTTTTTTTAAGGTCTGGACTTGAGTTTCTGAACTGGTAGATATTGGCAGTACTTGTCCACTGAGGGCAGCACTATAAGGAACAGCTTCATGTGGTGCAGGTAGTATATGCAAACTAAGAAATCCTTATGGATTGTTCTGCTAGTAAGCTGCTGGCCAGATGAGGAAAAGAGACAAAGTCAAATGATTTCCATCAAAGCGCTATCCAACTCGTACAATTACAGTGTGGGAGAAACAGATTCATGTTTTAAATGTAATGCTGAGATTTCGAGTTGGATTTGTTGTAGTTGGACTGTACTTTATTTTCCCTTATAACACAGATATGAAATGAATAATTAATAACAATTACTAACAATTACTGTGCATATATTTCAGCTTTTGGAGTGAACAGCAATAAGTTAAAATAGTATCTCCCCCTCAACCCCTTTACAGAAGAATACAGGAGATAAATAGCTTACAGCTTTCTAACTTCAGGCTGATGCTTTTATTGATTCAGAGGATCACATAGTTCAGAATTATCTCCCTGGAAATAAACAGGCCTGGTGTAGATTTAAAAAGAAAAAAAGGGAATTCAGATAGAAAGGAGAAAGAAAATCACTTTTGTTATGGGCGATAGTCCTTGGCAAATATATGTAGAACTAAGATTAGTTGTGACACAAAGTTGCATCTTGTGATAGTGAAAGAAAAAAAGCTTGGTGACTCTTGAACTTGTGTACTCAAAATGAAAGAAAGAATCATTTGATGCCTTCTGACAATTCTTTCCCTTCTGGTCATTGAAGGTGGCTAGAAGATAGAAAAGGAGAAGGGACAATGGCTCCATATATTGTTTTCCTGTATAAGAACATAGAACTAACAGCAGTGCTATGCATTTTCTGGAATTACAGGCTATCCTGTAATAGGCAAATAAGTGGATTTATCTTGCCTAACTCTCTCTATATATATAAAAGTTTGGAAGCTAACCTGAACTCAGAACTTAAGGTGGTCTTCTACTGGAAGAACAATACAGAAGAGCACAAGCAATTGGAGAGGTTTCAGGATTGCGTTTATGATAACCTGAAATACCTCTGGAGGGAAGAAGGGTCTAGAAAAAATGGTTGATATTCAGGGTTCTCCTTCTCCAAAGTGACAAATGGTCAATGTTGTTGAGCAGGACTGGCAGCAACACAGCTGCATGGATGAACAAGGAAAAGCTGACTAAATTCAGACATAAAAAGGAAGCATACAAAGGGTAGAAGCAGGGATAGGTGACCTGTGAAGAATAGAAAGACACTGTCTGAACATGAGGGAATCGGGCTTGGAAAGCCAAATCAGTCCCACCTGGAGTTGAATTTGGTAAGGGACATAAAGGCCAATAAGAAGGGCTTATACAGGTACCTCAGTAGCAAAAAGAGGACTAAGGGAAATACAGGCCCACTGCTGAATGGGATAAGGGCCCTGGTGACAAAGGACATGGAAAAGGCTGAGGTACTCAAAGTCTTCTTCATCTTGGTCTTCATTAGTAAGACTGGTCTTCATGAATCCTGAAGGTCCCTGAGACCAGTGTGAAAGACCAGAGCAAAGATGACTTATCCTCATTGTAGAGGAGGGTAGTTTAGGGAACATTTAAACAGACTAGATGTATAGAAGTCCATAGAACTTGATGGGATGAATTCACAAGTACTGAGAGAGCTGGCTGATGTCAATGCAAGGTCACTCTTGATCATCTTTTAATGGTTATGGAAATTGGAGGACGTTTCTAAGGCCTATAAGAAAGCAAAAATTACTCTTGTTTTTAAGAAGAACAAGGAAGAGCGGAGGGCCCCCATCCTTCCCCTTTACTCAGCCCTGATGAGACATATCCTAGAATGCTGGGTCCTGTTCTGAGTTACCCAGTGCAAGACAAACATAGACTGAAACATGTTCAGAAAAGAGCTACAAACATGATGAAGGGACCTGAGCCTCTGATGTACAAGGAGAGGCTGAGCAAGCTGGGGTTTCTCAGCCTGAAAAAGAGAAGACTCGGAAGGTATCTTATGATTTGTATAACTGCATAATGGGGATGACTAAATAAGATGGAGCCAGACTCTTCTCAGTGGTGCCCAGTATTGTTTTAATTTTGTCTTTGTTTCTTACTAGCCAAATCTATTTAAGTCATTGTTGTAGTTTGAGCCTGGTCAGCAGCTAAACACCACGCAGCCACTCACCCACCCTCCCCCATTTGGGAATAGAGAGGGAATCAGAGGGGCAAAGGGAGACTCGCAGGTTGAGATAAAAACAGTTGAATAACAATAGTAGAATAATACGGTGACAGTATAAACGGGTAATGAACAATACAGTTGCTCACCACCTGCAGACCAACACCCCACCTGTTTCTGGCTAGTGATCCCAAAACACAAAGATGCCGCAGCAACAATCCCGGAAGTGAGAGAGCACACCTTCCCTCCCACTCCTTCCTTTAAATGGTGAGCATAATGTCACATGACATGGAATAGCAGCCAGTCAGGGATCAGCACTCCAGCTGTGCTCCCTCTCACTCCCCACACACCCTCACACAGGCAGGGCATGCGGAGCTGGAGAGTCCCTGAAATCTCAGTGTGCATCAGCACTCCTCCAGCTACCAAAATGAACAGGAACTCTATTCCAGACCAAACCAGGACAGTATTCACCCCTTATTCCATATTATTTATGTTATGCTCACATTCCATATTTCTGATAAATTCTAATTAATTACTATCCTCTTTCCTGGTCACAGACATGTGCACATAGATATCATTCCCTCAGTCCATGGGTCATCACTGCAGAATGTATCCAGAGATCATTTGGTCCATAGCTTCAAGTTCCATCTGTCATAATAGTCCCTTATGGCAGGAGGAGCGATGATCAGTCAGTAGGGCACAGGTGTCCTTGGACCTGGCAGGAGGATGGCATGGAGTCTCTGTTACAATTGGAGCTGGTGGCTGATGTATCAGACGCCATCTCTATTCACAGTCTGCGGCAGTCGCTGGTCATCACTTGCTGGAACCGGTCCTGACTTTATCCAAGTTCATGTTTGCCTTCATGAATATGATGCAATTAGCCTAATATATATTAACCATAGTAAAATATTGATAGGGTGGTGTGGTAATTAATCTAATACAGTTTACTGGATATTTTCACCTAACATTAAGTCCTCTTGAGGCACACATCAGACTTCCCCGTCTTTCTGCATTAACCACCAAGTTCACATAGGTCCTTGGGCAAAGGTAATTCCACGTATAGGCTTACCTTTACCTGAAGTAGGAATAACCCAGATGGTCTTCCCCAGCATCTTATTAAGGTACGCTACCAGGACTCTATCTCCATCTACAGTAGTTAGAATGTTTGACTGCTCAGGGCCAGCCTGGTTGGCAGATCCTCTAGTATTGACTAACCATGTGACCTTTGTTAAATGTGTGTCCCAATGCTTAAAAGTTCTGCCTCCCATTGCTCTCAACATGGTCTTGAGTATCCCATTATACTGCTCGATTTTCCCAGAGACTGAGGCATGATAGGGGATATGATATATCCACTCAATGCCATGTTCTTTTGCCCAGGTGTTTATAAGATTATTTTGAAAATGAGTACCAATATCTGACTCAATTCTATCTGGGGTGCCATGACGCCACAGGACTTGTTTTTCAAGGCACAGCATATGTTTCCAGCCATCTGGTAGATGCTTCTACCATTGTGAGCACATAACATTTACCATGCTGAGTTTGTGGGAGCATAATGTAATCAATCTGCCAGGCAAACAAATCCACACAGTCCAGTAAACATGGTTGTCCCTCTCCTCCACCTGGCAGGAGGCAGGGCCCCTCTAATGCTGGTCATAGTATCCATTATCAATGAAGGGGTTAGTGTGGTCTGTGTGAATCTCGGTCTCATCCTGGTTACTCACTTCTTGTAAGTACGACTTGGAAGTTCTCCTCATAGGATCAGGAGCAAAGTCAACTCTTCTGTGTGGTTTGGGTAACTGATTAGTGGAGACTGAAGTGGCACTTCTCCTGGAAGAACCTTGATTTGTAGCCGTTCTTCCTTATAATTATTGAACCCGCTCTCTTAAAAGGTAGGTGGGTTTCCCATCCTATTTCTTCATGTCTTGTCCATGATCGCGCAGGTAATGCCATAGGTTCCCCTATGGTGTATACCATCTCGCTTGAGTAGGGAGCCGTTTGCTTCTGATAGCTGAGAACTTAGTTCATGCAGGTGGAGAGTAGGACATGTCCTCTTTGAGTTGTTGGACTTCTTGTGACAGTTTCTCCACATCTGCGATGATGGAAGAGAGACTTTCTTCGTAGTGCTGGAGTCGGTGAGACAAGTTGTCTATAGTTGGTGCCTCTTTGTCTCTCCAGTCAAATACTGCTAATGCATTGGAATGCAATGATGGAGCAGTCTGTATAAACTTCCACCACATGGGCTGGGTGCATTGGACTTCATCTGGGTCTGTGGGTAGCCGTGCATCATCTAGGTCATAATAAACCAACTCCCGCACATCTAGTTCCCTTAGGTACTGGATGCCTCTCTCCATGGCGGTCCACTTACTTAGATGACACATAAGATCTTCCTTGAAGGGGTATCTGTCCCTCATGCCTGACAGAAGTCATCTCCAAAGGCTGAGCAGTTCTGTCTTTCTTCCAATAATCTTGTCAATGCTTGCGTCCCTAGACAGGGATCCCAGTTGCCTGGCCTTTCTACCTTCTAATTCCACATTGTTGGCCCCGCTATCCCAGCATCAGAGCAGCCAGGTAAGGAGGTGTTCACCTGGATGGTGTCTGAAATCCATTTGCATGTCTCAGAGTTCACTCAGGGATTAGGAATGGGTGATTATCACTGGCTCTGCCTTCTTCTCCTGTTCTCGTGATGGCACTGGTTCACCATCATCTTTTACAATGCGAGGGGATTTTTTTTAGTGTATTTCTTCTTCTGTATGGGAGCCACTGGCACCGTCGTGGATTGATTCTCCATTTTACCCGTAGTACTTTTTGTAGGCGTCGGATTAGCTGCAATGTCTGTCTGCCAAGTTGGAGTGGCTGCAGTGTCTGGTGGAGGTGTCAGAGTGGTTGCAGTGCCCATTGTTTTGCTTTCAGATGCAGAGACGTCTTCCTTTTGACGATAGTGCATAGTGGTGATCAGGGTTCGGTAGTCATGGGCCAGGCCCCAGCATGTTGCAATGATCTGCATCTCTCTTGAGGTGTCAGGATGACAGCACACCTTTCCTAAATATTTTTCTAGTTTCTCAGGATCCTGCATTTGTTCAGGGGTGAAGTTCCAAAACATTGGAGATCCCCACTGTCCTAGGTACTTGCCCATGCTACCCCACACTCCCAGCCACTCATAACTCTTCAACTTTTGGGTAGACCTCTGGGTGGTATTCAGAAACAGTTGCTTAACCCGAAACAAAACTTGAACCACATCAGGAACAACTCAGCTTCCAGCAACAAGACAACAACATTAATATGAGCACTCCATGGATATTCAGAGTTCTCAGCATTCTCAAGTATACTTGCAAGTAGCCTGGAGAAGGGGAAGAAGGCAGAAGGTATCTCCCCCTTGGGTGGGCTTTCCGAGGAGAAAAGTTGGAGGGTGTAGTTACTAACCCATTCCAGTAGGTGCCCCCCAGTGTACACAGACGACGACCATGCTGAGTACAAATGCCCCACTACTCACTGGACCAATGATTTTATCATGCCATAGATTACTGTTACATAATACAGCAAGGCAACAATCTTAATCCAATTCCCACGGGTAATAAGCAGCAGCATGGGGACTACATACGGTAAGTAATGTGATGTATAACACAACTGTAGAAACAGGATGGACAGTTGGCATTATAACAAACTTGATAGCACACACAGATCAATTCTGTTGTTATCTCAACCCTTCGGGCCCCACATTGGGTGATAAAAAGGACTGTCATCGTTTGAGCCTGGTCAACAGCTAAACACCACACAGCTGCTCACCCACCCTCCCCAACCTGGGAATGCGGAGGGAATCAGAGGGGCAAACGGAGACTCGCGGGATGAGATAAAAACAGTTTAATAACAGTAACAGAACAATACGGTGACAGTATAAATGGGTAATGTACAATACAATTGCTTACCACCCACCGACCAACACCCCGCCTGCTCCCAGCCGGCGATCCCAAACACAAAGGTGCCACATCAACAGTCCCAGAAGTAAGAGCTCCTCCAGGCTCACTCCTTCCTTTATATAGTGAGCATAATGTCACATGACATGGAATAGCAGCCAGTCAGGGATCAGCACTCCAGCTGTGCTCCCTCTCCCACTCCCCCACACCCCCGCACATAGGCAAAAGATCTCTGACCTGGAGAGCCTCTGGAATATCAGTGTGCTTCAACACTCCTTCAGCTACCAAACGAACATGAACTCTATTCCAGCCCAAACCAGGACAATTACCATTAAATTAAGTAATTTTTTCCTGAGTCAGGTCTGTTTTGTCTATGATGATAGCTGGTAGGTGATCTCCCAGTCTTTATCTTGACCCTCAATGAGCATTTTTATCTTATTTTCCCCTCTGTCCTGTTGAGAGGAGTGACTGGATGAGTCTCTGACAGCTGGCTAAGGTCAACCCACCACAGGCACAATCATAGAATCATAGAACAGCCCAGGTGAAGACTCACCTTCATGGAAAACTTCCAAAGGAGTGAAGCAAGAGCGGAGGGCACTGAACTTTAAAAAGTCAGTCTCTTCTTCTTTTAGGAATGTTCCATTTCTTTTGTCCTTTTTTGTTAAATAGGAGTACAACGTGTTTAGAAAGTTCTGTGGGAAAACCTACTAAGACCACAAAGCTGAAATCGTTAGTGAGATTCTGAGAAAAGCATTCACCTAAGCTATTTAGGAATTTGAGGAGGAATGTTTATTTATTTGTGGTAAGCAGAAGATGATTTTCAATGTTAAAATGGATTTAAACAAAGTATCTATATCCCAAGAGAGTGCCTTGAAAATACAAGGTAAGGTGTGTACTGGCTCTAGTACAAACACCAACAAACTCAAATCCATGAGGCATCCAAAAAGTTGCGTATTCCAGAAACAGCCTGAGATTTGGAGTATTGAGATTCCATTTCTTTGCCTCAGAGAAGCAAAGAATAGATAGCCTTGAAGTGTGGATTGTCAAAATAATCTGGGGAAAAAAAAGATAAGAATGTTACCTTCCCTGACCAGACTTCTTAGGTGTTTATGTCTGTTTTCCTGGCAAGCTAATTTTCATGTAGATTAGTTATTAAAGGAGAATATATGTTGCTTCTCTGTGGAATAACAATATTTAGAATGAAATATATAGAATAGTTTTGAGCTTCTTTTAATTCTTTCTAAATATAATTTGATCACAAATCCTTAATGTAAATGAACATGAAGTAAATTACAAATAAGTTGTAAACAAGTTTGTAATACATTTGAGTTTTTATTTCTGACTGTAAGAAATATGCTACACACTAATAAAATGCTGAAGTGGATTGATGGGCTAACATCTTCTGTAATTCCTATGCCACTGAGCAGCAGGAATTGTGAATATGTTCTAACAGTATGTGTACTCACTGAGAAAGTTCAGGGATTGTACAGTATGTGCAAATTTTTTAGATCTAATACAACTCAGTATAATTATATAATTTACAAATGAAGAAGCACTGCAATTTCTCTAGAAGTTCATTAATCTGTGCACAAGCTTACAATACACTTACATATTAGTTACACATGCATTTTAGATGTAATTAGTGTCATCAAATTTGAAATGTTACAGAACATTTATGATAGCTGTGAAGGAGAATGCAGACACAGGGTGAAAATACAGATAGCCTCCAAACTCATGAATCTCATGCTTTGTGAAGTAATGTCAGCATTTTCAAGATATTTTAAAGAAAAACAGAACAAACCAAAAAAAATAAAGCAAGAGTTTTCATTATTTATCTTTTACTAATTAGCTGTGATATAACCAATCTTTACTTACCTCCCTCTGAGAATTTACAGATGTACTGTAAATTACAATTTGGCAATACAGCAAAATGAACTTAATTGTTTTCAATGGAAACCCATGATATATTATAGTATTACCAATTTTATCAGTAGAATTATAGATCTGCTGGCATTTCAATTATAAAACATCTATTTTCAGTGATAAATTGTTTCAGAAAAAGAAAATCAGGTGGAGATCAGATCTTATCTTAAATCTCAAATCCAAATTCATGGGGTTTGGGGGGGTTTATTTTGTTTTTTCTTTAAAAAAAAGTTTTAATAAATTCATTTAGCTTTCACCTAGATCTTCACTCCTAATAGACACATTGACATTGTTAAAATCCATCTTTGATTCTGAAGGGTTTTGGCCATATCTCACAGAATGGTACTGAGACTAAGTCACATAAACTCAGTTTCTTCCCAGAAGGATGCAAAAGCTAAGCCAAAGTTCAGAAAATAAAGTAATTGAGCTTCCTTTCAGTGAATTATTTCAAACTGGCTTCCTGGAGACGATGCATATGCATTATAGGTAGTGCTGGTGAAATTTCTTAAGACAATCAAGGAATCCATAAGGGAGAGAAATGTAGGGACTAGATTGTCAAGAATATGGTGTAGTAATCTCCAGCTGTGTTTCATGGTTGCTCCTTTGGGTGCAGACACTTTGCCCAGGATGTACCAGTTGAGACTTAGCATTTGGTCCCAATATCCTCAGAAATTCCGTCCTGTCTCCTCATACTCTCTTTGTAGGTAGATCATGGAATTCCAGAATACTGTTAATGATTCTGGGATTTTCTGAGCCAGATACAGAGTAATAATTTTATGTTTAGTAAATACTGATGGTGTCTCCTTCCATTTATTTGTCTAATTTTTCAAATCTATATCCTGTATCCATATAATCACATGGCAAGGAGTTTCTCAGTTTAAGTGCTGTGTGGAAAAGATGTTTCGTTTTGACTAAAATAGGATGCTGCATAATTTCACTTGATATCCCCAGTTTTCAGGTGCTGAGAAATGATGAATAGTTGTTCTCCATTTACCTTTAGTCACAGCTTACATAGAAAGTGAAGAACTACTATATTTGCCTTTTTCTTTTTGTGAGGGTTCTATGTGCTACGTTTGGTTACATACCTCACTACACACAGAAATGAGAAATAAATCTATATTAGTAGTTTATTGTGGTATTGAATGTACAGTGGCTACACTTGCATCTGTTATTGTTCTACATTTTCACTGTTTGTCTTAACAAGCCTCTTACGAATACTCATTACTCATAATTGTATTTAGAACACTAAATTTGATACTGTGAGGTTATTTGGTAATCTGCCTTGTGTCCTCTATTACTGCTATTCTAAAATAAGCTGTACTCAGGCCTTTCAGGCTCATTTACACCATTATCAACATATGCTTAGGTATGCATTTCCTAATACAGATTTTCAGACCTTTGGTTTATTGCTTGCATTAAAGCAAAAATATACACCCATGGCAAACTGGGACACCCTCTCTGTCTTCATTTTGCTGTTTATGCAAAGTAAGATCCTTTAGGGACATTCTCCTCCATACAATAGAGTGTAAAAATGCCTGAGCAAGCGTAAGAAGGTCCATAATAGGATGCAGAATAGCAGTATCTTTTTGGAAAGGAAATTTCTATGATTGGGAAAATATTTGATACCAGATCCCCTGTCTCCTATGTCCTATTTTGTTTTCCAGATCTAAACTTGTATTTCTGCTAGATGCTGTATGATGTAGTTGTAGCTCCCTCAATTTATATCAATGTAAGTCTTTCTGTGCTGTATGCCACTGTACTGGAAAGAGAAGTCTTTACTGCCATCATATAAATAGTTTTGATACTTCCTGTATCATTTTAATTACTTTTCTGCACCATTTTGATTCTATTGTAATTCAACATAGGGAATTTTGCATGGAGGTGCCTTGAAAAATGGTCCTATAAACTTGGTCATCTCTAGTGGTACTTTTCTGACATGACAGGATCATGCTTCATATTTTGATGGTGTTGGTTCTATTTAGTTTTCAGAATACCATTATTTAATAATTTCTGGGAAAATTTTCGTATGATCCATTTGTTATGATCCTCTCCTTTTAACATTTCTTAAACTTTGAGGATATAAATTGTAAAAGTGAAAAGTTAATCATGGAACTGGGGCAAAAAATAATGAGAAACAGGCAGAAAAGGATACTAAAAAGAAAAATAAATAAATTCATATTCCTTTAAGCAAGTTCCAAAGAAAACATAGGCTAATAATCCTCTGCTTAGACATAGATATCCCTTGAGGATATGAATTTTCCATCCATCACTGGTTTCAGATTCATAGTTGGGCCAGAATCATGTATAATTTGCATTGTAGGGTCTCTCTGGGGAAAAAAAATAAAAATTTCCGAGCTCTCTTCTTTGGTCTATGTAGCTAAAATGTGATACTTAAAACTACTAAGGCTCTTTGCATCTTCAAAGTACTTCAAAATATTTAGCTCTGTGGCATCAAAAAATGTTAGTTCCATTTTACAGATAGTCTAGAAAAGTTGGCAAGCCCATGGAGCAAGCCACTCCCAGAGATGGCAACAAATCCCAGCAGTCACAGCTGTGACTCCTAGGCAGGCCTTTACCATTCCTGAATAATTCTGCTTGTCGCTAGATAATTTGTCTCATGGATGAAGTCAAAAATAGAAGAAGAAAGCGAAGGTGATTTCATAGTTCTATCACTCCGTGATAAGCTGGTTTTAGGGCTGCTGCCAAGGGGAATACAGAGACATGGGTTAGTCTTGCTGGGAATGACTACAGTTGTACACAACTGTACATATTCATTTTAATTACCTGTAGGTTCACAGGAACTGGAGATGAAAATACTTTTCTATATTAATGCCATTTAAATATCATATCTGAAAGCTGGGTTATGTCTAATAAAGATATATTTGCAGTTTTTAAACACACCTCAGGGATATTTGGTAAAACTGTCAGTGTCAGCCCAACTGTTTTTTTCAGTAAATTCAGTGGGAGCTTCATCACTGGCTACAGAGATAGAACACATTGACCAAATCTGAATAGCTTGTCCTATAACTGACTAGTGCACATTGATTGTTTATAAAAATGCTGATAATAAATGATTCAAATTTTAGATTGGTTTTGGGTTTTGGTATTTGTTAAGAACTCAGTTTAACAACTCATTGTGAA